TAAGAAGCCCAGTCTGTGGTTTGTGAAGGAAGCCCTAACTGAGATACTCAGCAAAAGAATGATAGAAATAATATGAGCTCACTGAACTCAGGAGAGGCTATAAATGAAAGACAAATAACTGAAGATGTAAAGAGAAGAAATACAGTGTGAATAGATATACCACAAAAGGAAAGGAAAGACAATACACTGCACGAGTAAAAACAGTGAAAAAGAAAAAATAAATTAAAAAGAAAAAGAAAATAATAGGTACAGAGGACGGGCTGGGATTCCACATACATGTAATAAGTAATCATAAAGAGGAAAATCAAAGCAAGAAGACAGATCAGTGATAAAATCCCAGAAAAATTTCCCAAGTAAAAGGGACTTAAACACTACAGGGCATATCACACATCAAGAGAAAAGAATCTGATCCCCAAAATTCTATCCCAGGTATCAGTAAACTGGATGTAGGCTAAATCTAGCCCACTTCCTGTTTTTGTAAATAAAATCTTTATTGGAAGACAGTAACATGTATTCATTTACATATTTTCTAGGGTTGTTTTCAGACTATGACGACATAGATGGGTGCTTGCAACATAGGCTGTGTGGACTGTAAAATTCATAATATGCATGATACTCTGTGATTCTTCACAGAAAAGCACGCTGACCCTAGCCTATGCCAAGATATATTCCAGTACAACTATTAGATTTAAAATAAAATAAAATGAAGAAATAAAATGAAGTGACGGGAAATGAAGTGAACTAATGAAATAAATTAATCGAACATCCAGGACAAAAATACCAACTCAGTTAACTAGCAGCAGTCTTAGAGTAAAACAATACTCTATGCCATTCCATGAGCGTAAACACAATTGAGATGGTAAAGTGAATGAAACGCAGACCATAGGTTTAATTTTCAGCAAACTGATTGTCATACTGTTATTAACATGCAAGAGTTCAGGGACACAGTTTCCACGAGCTCTTCCTGGGATGGCTCAGAGAGTAAGTTTCTGATGACTAAGACATGATCAGAGAAACTTTAGGACAGAATATATGATGAGCATTAAGCATATTTCACTGTAGCATTAAGACTGAATGAAGAAAGATAGGAGTGACAAAGTACACGCAGTTGTACTGAACGCTCTGACAATGTAAATATAACTGTGGAAGAGATGAGAGGGGTCGGCGCGCAGACAGTAAGATAAGCAGACCGTAAGTGCTGAGTGTCCTACGGATTTAACGTGAAGTGGTACTGATGGTACATCCCTTCCAGTTAGCGAGTGGGGAGAAGAGGAGGGCGACGTGGCTCCTGGTTAACTACTGATATAACAGTTCTTATGATAGGAAGTGAGGAAAAAACTTTAAAAAGCGGGACTGTACAATATAAACATCTCACATAAAAATAACTTACAAAAAAAACACAAGACTTTCCAAATGACAAGAGCAGTACTTCAAAGAGAGAGATAGAAAGAGCAAAGAAAAAAGATCACATTCTAGAGTGAACACAGATATCCTGTAGGGGATTTACTGACCAAGTGATACTGTAATGGATCCACGTGATGGACAACTGTGAGAGAGTAGGAAGGATCCATATGATGTCATACTATGTAATACTCCATAATCCTATGATGGATCCAAATGATGTGATACTGCAACTGACTAGGAAGGATCCATATGATGTCATACTATGTGATACCACACAACCGTATGAGGAATCCATATGATGTGATACTGTAACTGACTAGGAAAGATTCATATGATGTCATACTATATAATACTCCATAATCCTATGATGGATCCAAATGATGTAATACTGTAACTGACTAGGAAAGATCCATATGATGTTATACTATGTAATACTACACAATCCTATGATGAATCCATATGATGTGATACTGTAACTGACTAGGATGGATGCATATGATATCATACTATGTAATACCACATAGTCTTATGGTGGATCCATAGGATGCAATGCCATAGAAAAGAATGCATGACTGCCATTCAGCGTGTTGTTCTGCAAGGTACACACAGCTATAAAGGATACTGTTCTGCAAGTTACAGAGCAGGGAACAAAGTATGCTGTGCATAAGAAAAGAAGGCAACCACACAGGTGTAAGTATCTCTTATATTAAAAAAAAGTGTCTCTTATATTAAAAAAAAAAAAGGAGAGGATAGGTACCAACTTGATAAAATGGTTTCGCTGTTAGTGAGAGTCAGTTCCCAGGCAGGTTGATAAGAAGTCCAGGGTGCCCGAGGAGGAAAGAGGGGCTCTCAGAGGAGACAGGGGTCTGGGATCCTCAAGGAGGAGGAAAGGACAAACGTCTTTTCCTCTGCATTCCTTAGTCTTAGTCACATAAGGCGTTTTTGCCTCTAAGCCTGGAACTGATGATTACACAGCGAGCAACTCGGTTTGGACTCTGCACTACGGATTACACAGCAGCGCTGAATCCTGCTTGAGGGCAGTCCCTCCTTCCTCAGCGCCTTCTGCCTAATCCTGCTATCTTGGTTATCTTGAAATGTGGACTGTGGGAGTGGGTCTAGGAAGAGCTTTGCAACCTCCAGACATTCTTTTGATTCACTGTAATAACTAATTGGAGAGTATATAACTCCATTGCTAACACTAGCAAGGTAGGCACTCTCCATCCCCCTTCTGATGTCTGTGTCAGAAGCTTCCTCTATCTCTTTTATACTTTAATAAAACTCTATTGCACAAAAGCTCTGAGTGATCAAGTCTTGTCTCTGGCCCCAGACTGAATTCTTCCTCTTTGGAGGCCAAGAATCCCGGGGTCTTTCATGGCTCAGCAACAACCTTTCATTAGCACACCCATACATTTGATCAGCCACACTGGATGCCTTTTGTGTATCAGCAGAACCAAAGGGGACAGCTTTATGAAAAGACATCTTAGTGTTACTATTTCTGATATATAGGTAGAGCCTAGGAAATTTAGAGGGAGGATAAGTAACGAGCAATGTTAACTCCTGCACATAAACATGTAAAATACAGCTCTATGTTAGCCAAAGAAAATTTTGTGTATTATGTTTATCTGTGAAACTAGCTATCCTTCTTAATTATTCCTTAATTTGTAAAACCTTTATTCTTTATTGGTCCTTGAAAGTGTTGCATCCAAAGGGGGCCCAAGAGCAGTGGGTGTTTTTATAAAAAGCAGGTTCTGGAAACCCTGCTGGGGGTTCACTCCCAACTGAGCGCCCTGTTTCCATCCATCTGGCCTCTAAGTCTCCATCTTTTGGCCTTGCCACCTTCTCCTCCTCAGCCTAAGCCTTTCTCAGAGGTGCCCCACTCGGATATTGTGAGAGGGTGTAAAAAGGAAGAAACACAAACGGATTTGCAGAGACCAGTACAAGGCACCTGTCTTAGGAACAAGTCTGCAGTCAGCAGATACTTCAGAAGAAGCTTTTCCTTTTCCGTTTGTTCACCGGATGGGTTTTATCACTCCCTAACAGTCTGCATTCTCAGGGATGGCCTCCACTTTCTTTAATCTCAGGCCCTCTCTCCAGGATGGTGGTACAGTTGGAGGGAGCTAGAAGGCTTCTGCTTTATCATGTCTGCAATGCAGGCCGTATCTACGGACCCTGAGAAGCACACAGTGGTCTGAACCTTCTTCCTGGTGCCAGAGAATCGGGCGTCCTCCTCCTCCTAGAGGCGCTCGCCAGTTCCCCACGCCCACCGTGCGCCCACAATTCACACGCTCGAGGAACGTCCTCCAAGGAAAGATCACTGTGAAAAGGGGATGACGTTCCACGTTCAGGTTCCAGCATCTCCTCCCAAAAATGACCCCAACGCTAAGTATTAAAGAGGCCTGAGATGATGCTAATTGTCCACAATGCCCAGGACAAACCCCACAGCAAAGAATTACTGGCCCCAACTGTTGACAGTGCCAAGGCTGAGAAACCTTGAATTATAGTACAATTTAAGTGGGGCCCTATCTCTCCAGCCACATTAGGGGATAGGGCTTGTTTTTAAAGTATATTTCTTTTTAATTGATTGATGATTGCTTTACGGGATTAGGGCTTTGACATTTGAAATTTAAAGAGATGCAATTCAGTCCACAACACCACAGGAAAGGAGAAGAGAAATTAGAGGGCAAACAATTTCATTTTTTAGGGAGTTTGCTCAGATATATTTGCATAAGTCATTCTTCATACACGTCACTGGCTAGAACCCTGTCACATGCCAAGCTAACTGCAAAGAAGGCTGGGGAACATGTTCTTTAGCTTGACGGTCGTGTGCCCAGCTAAATAAAACTCAGGGGGCTATGGTACTCAAAGGAAAACTATTAAAGAAAGAGAATTCCAGAAACTGGAAAGACATGGTTTGCTCTCAGTTTGATACAGCTTTTCTTCAATATAACGCTCCTGGACCCAGTCCCCCCACCGCAGGATAATGATAGCTCTAGTCCCACGCGCGGAAGGGAAGAGAAGCCGGCCCCATCCCTAGATACTTTTTCATTTAAGAGCGAGTCACAAAGCCACACCCATAAAAAATACTTAGTATCTCCCAGGGGCAGTTTTGAATGCAGGCAAATTTACTCCCACCCTGAGACACTGTGCATTTTTTACTTTGTCTCCAGAGTTTAAGAATGGTGAGAAAGGCTTTGTGGTCAGGAAACTGGAAAAGAAAATACCTACACTCACGTCCTTTAAACTAATTTTTATGATAGGAGACATTTGAATCTCCGTCCCTAGTGACTGTATTCTTTAAGTGTTCTTTAAGATGCAAAACTGTCTCTGGATAGAAGATCATCTGTTAATAGACTGACAATCACCATTTCTGATATATATCTTAAGCATGACCACAACGTAATAGTAATACACTCTATTTTAACATGTATTAACTCAGGTAATATGCTGATTTTGTATAATTCTAAATTTTCAAGTAGTTTATGCTGCTAAGATCATGAAGCCTTAATGGGAGCTACGGAGCGATCCCACCAACGGCAGTGGGAAGAAGGTGACTTGTCACCACAGTCCAAGGAGCCCCAGCAAGGGAAGCCACTCACCGTCCTTCTTGTAGAACACGATTTCCCCTTTGAACTCCGTTTTTCCCTCCAGGGACGCTTCGATCTGGAGCATCAGGTGCTCGTCGGTCTCCGCGCCGAACAGGAATCTGCAGCTGCAGCTTTTCTGCATGACCTCCGTCCGGGCGAAGCCCGCGAGCTCGCAGAAGCCGTCCGAGCAGTAGACGATGGGGCAGCCCTGAGCCACCTGGGCGTTGGCGAGGATGAAGTTGCTGTCTGCGGAGCCAAGGGGAGACGGTCAGCAGGTAAACGAGCGTGAGGACGTCACAGCGGCAGACGCTGAGCATGCGTGTTTAGCTGCCGCTACCCAGAGTGCACATCCTGCTGTGCTGGGGCAGAAAGGAGACGCCCCGGAACCTGAAACAGCATTGACCTGCGGAAGTACGTGTTAAGTGTCAACTTCGGCTTGCATGTTGAAACCCACCATGGAGAGAGCATGAGCCTGTTTTGATGGCATTTACCATCATCTAGGTAGCAGTAAGGGCTGGTGTTTCTGAGCATGGATTCCGGTTGACAGCTTGAATCTGCCAATTAATATACTGATTAGTCACATCCTAAACCTCAGTTTCCTTAGGTTTGATTTCCTTACAGACGATGAGACAAAGATGAGTGCCAGTATTTTACATGGTTGTTGATTCCAGTAAGTAAGGAAGTGGGCAGGGCAGTAAGAAATAAGGGAGGCAATAAAGACTGAGATAGAGATTTACAGCTATGAGCAACTGGGCACTGATCTGTGAATTGGGCGGGTGGGGGCCGCTGATCCGTGGATGGGGGCATGGACTGGTGGTGGGCTATGAGAGTGATACTGTTGCTTACTTTACAGGTATGTCCTAGGGATTCGTCAGAAATACTAGTATAATGGCTGGCAGAAATAAGTACTCAATAAAAACCATTGCTAAGAGGATCATTCACTCTCTGCATACATACACTACTGTGGATAAAATAGAAGCTAATGAGAGCCTACTGCCCCGTACAGGGAGCCCTACTCAGGGCGCTGCGGTGACCTCAGTGGGAAGGAAATCCAAAACACAGGGGATGGATGGATGCATAGAACCGACTGATTTCACTGAACAGCAGAAATCAACACAACACTGTAAAACAATTATACTCCAACAAGAATTAATTTAAAAGGCGCATTGTTCACATCTTATAGCTGTTATATTAACAAATACGAATAGTGAAGCAATAAAACAAACAGGACGCGATTGCTAAGTACTTAGAGATAACTCCTGAAGGAGAGCCTAGAAGGCAATATTCAGGGAAGGTTCAAAGTTTTTGAGATTAAATCAGAGGGATGTTTACAGACAAAAAGATGCATATTGGAGATGATGTTTAAGACAAGGCATGTAGAAAATGTGTTGGTGGGTGAATTTCAGGTTCAGAATGAATTAGAGACCATTATGAAATCACTCATTCATTGGTTCATGAAAATATAGTTAAACATTGTCAGTGTCTCAGACAATATCAGAGGCTGGGATTTTAAAGATAAGAAAACGAAAAATGGAAAGAACTACAGCATACATACATATATACATACAGCGTACGTTGTTAAATGAAAAAATCATGATTTGGTATAATATGTTATTTGACAGAAAATACATAAGCCCATATAATCATGCCTGTGTGATTAGTTGTGTCTGACTCTTTGCAATCCCATAGACTAGCCCACCAGGATGCTCTGTCCATGGGATTTGCCCAGGCAAGCATACTGAAGTAGGTTGCCATTTCCTACTCCAGGAGATCTTCCCCACCCAGAGATCAAACCCATGTCTCCAGCGTTTCCTGCACTGGCAGGTGGGTTCTTTACCACTGAGCCACCTGGGAAGCCCATAAACATTTACCTGTATCCCCAGATAGGAAGCGTTTGTGTTTATCTAAAACTAAGTGGGATAAACGGTAATTGTGGATGTCTTGGGCAGAGGTGATAGTACTTATTTTTGCCATTCCTTTGAATTTTATACCATATGTTTTACGTATTGCTTATTCAAAAACTAGGATGTTTAAAAGAGGTTTGCAGCAGACATTATATGTTGTATGCCATGAGAAAAGAGGAATTCCAGCAACTTCCGGGTGGCCAGCAGGACAAGCACTGAAGATCTGTCCCATGTGCCTTCCCGTCTTGTTAAAACACTGTTGCATGTTTCCACAGACCCCCAATAGCCGGCAGAACCGAACCCAGGTTCCTCAGCTGTGCTCAATCAGCCCTTAGCACAGAGTGCAAATCCAAGTGCTAACACCCGCATCCTTCCTGGGGCAGGCTGCCCCCTCCACCTGCCCAGCCACCTCCCCCTGTGCAGAGAAGCCGGAGCTTACATCGCACTGGGAACCCTTCAGTTGTGCATGCTTTGAGCCCAGAGCACTGAATTAAATTATCCAAGACTGCTATTTAATTCTCTCACGCTTTGCAGAAGCATCTGTTGATGGCGTAATATGTGCTGGACTTTGTTCGACGTGCAGAGGCAAAAAAGTATTTTATTGACAGATGCCGTCCCTGCCCTCGAAGATCAGCCCTGAGCCCACGGGAGTTCCCAGCTGGGTCCCAGGGGGCACGCTCCTGCTGAGGCGATGCTCTTGGTCTCACCAACTCGGCACAGTTCTTGGTAACTCTAGGCATTAGCATCTCTTCCTCCCTGCATTCTAAAACTCTGGCTGAGAACTTGCTTAGAAAATGTAAATCCATTGCATTGGCAAAGTACTCACACGTCCTGAAAGAGCTTTTAATGTGTTTTTCAGAAGTCATTTTTCAGTGGACCAGTGACATGCTGACTTTCTACTATAAGAAAGCATGGACCTTCTGCTATACACCAGGTGCCGAGGCTCCACCATACGGCAGGTCTTCGGGTGAGCGGACAGAGGAGGTTAAAAGGTGAATAAGTTATAGTCTCTAGCTTCAGGATGTTACAACTTAACTAAAGAAATGCATGAATATCAATAACATTAAAACACCGAGTATGATAAGCACCAAATCAGTGGTACACAGAGGGCTGAGAAAGGGAACATCCTGGGCTTTAAAAACAATCAGCTAGGAGTAAGACCAAAGTAGGCCGGGATACTTATCAGAAGTCCTGGGAGGTTGGAGCGGATGCCTGGATGAGCAGCTCAAAGGAGGAACGGTGGAAGGAACTGGAGACGGAGAGAACCAACTTTCCGTTCTGTCCTAACAACCGGCCTCCCGTGATTTCTGTTGCTGTTGACTCACTAAACCGTGTCCAACTCTTTGCGACCCCATGGACTGTAACCCACCAGGCTCCTCGGATCAAACCAGCGTCTCTGGCGTGGCAGGCGGATTCTTTACTCTGAGCCATCTGGGAAGCCCCTCTCATGATTTAAATAGCCACAACAGCTTTCTTTTGTTGGTATTTAGCAGATATACCTTTTCTGGTCTTTCTACTTTTGATCCTTGTAGGCACTTGTATTTTATAGTTGTGTCTTGCACAAAGCATGTATTTAAATTTTGTAAAAGTACAGTAAGTAAGAAGATACATCTGCCAACCTGAGATCCACCAACTTTTATTATGATTACTGTATTATGGTGGTGGTTTTTTTACTTAATTTGTGCTTTCCCTTCACTGCATTTTGTTGTTTTGTCTTTTCCATTTTTAAAAGTTAGGAAATATAACGCATCTAAAAAAAGATTTATAACAGTATTTAAAAACAACACTAAACACCCAGGAATCATTCATCTAGTGAAAACCCCTGTGAGCACCAATCAAACTGTATTTCCATCCTTCTGGAAGAAGAAAACTACAACTTAAACTTTTGTAATAATCATTCCCAGTTACATAATTTTTGCCTCATGCAACATATTGCCTGTTTTTTCCAGTTCTTATGGCATGTATTATGGTATTTCATTCTATATTCTTAGGGCATGTATTATGGTATTTCATTCTATATAATTTTAGTGACTTGCTTCTTTTATTAATCTCCTTAGCATCTTTACAATTGCTTATGAACACAAGAAAAGATCCACGTTTCAGAGCTACAATAAGCTTCTGAAAAAAGCCACTAAAGGATTCAACCAATTGCCTGATCTATGCATTTCACTTAAGGATTATGGTGTGTTCAGGGTAGTTAATTCTCCTTGCAAATACCCCTCAAATACAAAGAAAAAAAAAAAGTCAGGTATCTGACCTTTTCTGTTTATATTTAGCGCTTGTCCTCAATATGTAATTGCATTTCAATTCCAAAGAGAAGTCAGTGGCAGTCGGTGCCTCATACAGCCTAGTGTACTAGCGACATGAATGGTCCTTCTGTTTGGGAAAGAGTAGCTCCTATACCCAGGTATCTGCCTCGAAAGAGATGCTCTTCTGAATACCAGTCCTGGAATCTCCAAAGAAGTGTGACATTTACTTTAGAATTACGTAAAACAAAGCCACTGCCATAATGATCATCAACCTATCACAGGTATATCACTAACCATACATATGCCAAGGGTATTTAACCTTTTGAAGAATCAATTATGCATATGTCATATGCATCTAAATGTCACACAGCTTTCCTCTGCTTACTTCTAGGTCATCTTCTGTGTAAATTCAGTAAAGTGCCAGTAAACAGTAAGATCTAAATGTGTTTACATTTTAGGTAGTTGATTATTTCCCTAAATGCCTCCTTAGCCAAAAGCTTTCATGTATCATCAGAGGGAATCTCAGGGCTGGTGGAGACCCAAGTCATTTCCCTGAATCCGTAGTGTAGGGTACCAGTGTCCATTCAAATGGAGACGGACTATTCATTGTAGACTCCCAGGTCCACAGGGAATGGGGATTGGGAAGGAAAAATACAGGAGGAAATAGAAGAAGGCAAACACTAATCCACTACTAATGCCTTTCATCCTCATACTTGGCCCATTTTCCAGATGAGAGCACTGAACCCTGGATAACGCTGGCATCCACTCCAGGTTTGAGGGAGGGATTAAAACCCAGTGTCTGTGATATTCACTACCAAGGATACTTTCTATAAAGAAGTGACATATTCTCTACTTCCAGCAGAAATGGGTTAATTCTAGAAAAACATTTTTGCCTCTTCAGTCTACAAAGAGCTCAGAGTCCCAGATTTTTCTCTACAGAGATCATTTATTAAAAGTTCATTGGTGACATCTCCTAAACCAGCCTGGATCTCTCAGCAACCTTTATGTCACTTCCTCGTCTCCTTCAGAAAGCCAACATTTCAAAAACATGGCAACAGCTTTCTTGGCTCCAAAGTATTCTGCGTAGGCTCAC